GAATTCCAAACACAAATAAGTCTGTTTTTATAAAATCTGTACGTTTTATATTAAGTATTTGGTCAGCAACTACGTATGTATGTATGTTATATTTCGATTTTTTGAGTATTTTAAAATGATTTCTTTGTTTAAAGTGTTAGGACGACGATATTAACAAAAATGATCAACGCAAAAAAAGTTCCTTTTGTAATATCTAAAACTTGGTATTTAAAATTTTACCTACAAATGTAATGTAGATCATTCAGATGTTGTAAAACAAATTTTTAGCCGTTTTTCAACGATTTTTAATATTTAAAGTATCAAGATGGCACTATAGAGATAAACTTACTACACAAAAAGTTTCTTTTTAATAATCTTTACAGCTTTTGTATTTAACACTTTACTGTAGAATTTGAATTAATTTCTTCTATTCGCGTGCAAAAACCTATTTTTTCACTGTTTTTACATCTATTTTGCAATACAGAGAATCTGCAATACGTGACAGACTAAAATGTAAAATACAAAAAAGTTGTATTGCACATTTTATAATTATAAATACAAAAAAGTTGTACTTTATCGTTATCTACAACTTTGTCGTTGAATACAAACGTGTAAAATGTATGTATTAAAAAGAACCAAAAAACTTGTTTCTTTTTATTGTCAGAGTGCTACAGTAAAAACGCTGACTAAATTTTTCTCTCTGATAAAAACTGTCCGAATGCAATACATCAACTTTGACATGGAACTTGAGGTTATCCACAAAATTTGAACTCATTTAGATAACAATTACTTGAGTTAGTTGAAAAACTTGATTACGTACACACATATACTTACATACGTACACTATGTGACCATCTCAGATCACCATTATACTTGGTTTTTTTTTTTTTTTTTTTTTGTATTAAAATGTACTGACCTCGAGGGTTCGTACACTGACTTAGTTTGAAATTTGTTTTATACTAAAAAAAGATGATTTGAAAATGGTTATACTTTTTGCTCCGACAAAAATAAGATACTCGAATACATTAGTCATGCTTAAAAATGAAACTTTCGTGTCATTGAACTACCATTTTCTACACCGCCATTTTAAGTTTTTAATTGTAGTACGGGACTGACACATCTTTTCCATCGAAATATCGACATCGTTAATTTCTAAATGACCTTCGAGAGTGAATCAAACGCCAATTTTTAAATAGTTAAAACGAAATCTCGTAGCTAATGACGAAAATGATTTTGCAGTAACAGTGGAAGATATGAATGTATTACTTAGTCGTTCAATTAAAGGTATTTCTTTTTATTATTAAATAAATGAACAATTAGAATGATAATACATGGATTCATCCGACATTTAAATCTTTTCGAATCTAAAAACATTATAGCTTTTTCAGGGTTGTGAATTTTCCTCTTAACTGTTTCTCTGATGAAAGATGCCACATTTATCAAATGTGCGATATCCCAGTTTAACTTCTCAAGGTGGTTCAGCTATTATCGAATTTGTTATCACGTGACCAAAGTCTTTTTTTCATTTTATGATTAGCTGAAACTAATCCCGTAGTCTATCTGTGACAGGAGTGGCAAGATATACATCGAACATTGGCGTGAAACATTTATCATAATGGTATTGATTTGTGATTTATCACTATAGCAATAAAATGAGATAGAATTAAATGATCCTCTGACAAAACTACAATGAGGTCGTAAGTCATTTCAGTTTCAAACAGAAAATTTATTTTAATCTTACATGGTTTTTCGTAACGATAAAACAACTTAGAAAGCATAAATAAAAAAGTAATGATGGTAGTAATAACAAAAACGTCTAACACAACTAGTAGCCGCAAGACAATATGAGCAACAATGTAAGATCCCCCAAAAATTGTGAGAAAAACGCAGTAACTTAAAAGTAAAAGCCCTGCAAAGAAGGGAATGAAGGAAATTCTAAAGAAGGAACAGGTATCTTCCGAAAAAAAAGAAAAAAGAAAAAAAAAGAATCAACTCGTTAAATGCAAGTCGAGCTACAGGTCATCGCTTTCGGGAAACAGGACAGGGAAGAGCACTACTTCCTGGACAATGACGCGAGGAAGAAGGCCTTCACTTACGATTTCGAACGCACTCGAACGGCGTTCGTCTCTTTCTCCCTTTTTCCTCGAGCCTTAGAAACCCACGCGCACTTCAGGCTAATCCTTGTGCACAATAATTACCATACACAACCGAAGGGCGTTTACGCACATGAGTAGGTATATAGCAGCTGTGCCGTTCGTAAAAGGACAATCATTCCAAAGTGCCTCCCTACCGTGTCGCTCGCCCAAGTAGGCCAATTCCCCAAGGATGAAAGGGAGGGGAAAATGATAATTTCCAGCTGAACAAGAGAGACACAGGTACCTTTAATGGCCATGAATGAGAGAAGGTCCGAGCGGTCAACCGACACCTTTGCAACTGTAACACTTCTCTACGTCTCCATTGTCATCCCCAGTCGTCTTTCTTCCCTACGCTACTTCCCCACTGGCTCTCTCTCTCTCTCTCTATTTTCTTCTTCCTCACACTTAAAGGTACGCCGTACTATTATCCTCTGGTTCTCTTCCGAGATTCGGTCCACGTTGTCCGGCAAAGGTCAATTGTCGAGTGGTCAGCTTTATTTCACTTTTTTGCAACAGTCCTAGCCTCTTTTATCTCCTCTCGAGGAGTTCTTGCTCTTTCGTTGTGCCCCCGTGTACAATGCCGAGGTGTTTCCGGTGTGCGGAGCCTTTCAATTCGGAAACGAGAGACTAGTTGACTCCAGCTTATCGAAAATAAATGCGGATCGAATGGTCCTTGGGCTCTGCCTCTGCCCCCCTTTTTTTAGTTAAGAAAAGAGTGTGCTAAGAAGCCGGATGTTCTGAATAAGTTTTTTTTTTCTCATTCATTCACTTGCTCCCGCTTTTTTTTCTTTGATACGCTGCAGTTTTCTGCTCGCACTCCTGGTTCGGAGAAAACGCTCTGTGGTCTCTTTTTTCGCCACTATTTTACCAGTGGTCAATGGAACTGTAATGGACATCGCGAAAGGTGTATTTGATTTTTATTAGTGAAAAATAGGACTCTAGGCTTCTGGTAGAAAAATACGAGACATACTTACTTTACTTGCAGTTACGACATTTTCGTAATGATACATGGCATCATCTACAACTTATTCGTAGAGCCTCGTCTTTGTTGAATTTACAAATTTGGATTTGATAATGAATACCCGACTATATTGACCTTTTAACCTGTTGAAGGTACAAATTTCTAATGACATGTGAAAGTTAATTGCGGAAGAAAAAAAGTGTATTTTATGGGTGAAAATCACACAATAAATATTCTAATTATTACCCAAGGCAATGTTGTATGATTTATGAAAATTAACTGATTTGATGCGATTTGAGGATGTGTAAAAATTTAATGTTAATAAAGTGAAATGAAAAAATGTATCCAGTTGTACAAAAAGTATCGTAAAAAAGTAAAACTTAATAAAATTTTTTACCTCAAAAGAATTTAAAATACATTATAGACGGAAATTACGATAGAGCTTTGTAAATTTTTTTTTTTTACAGGAAAACAGATAAACTGCTCAGTAAACATGAAGTAAATAAAAGAGTATGTACGCTCTAAAAGCCTTTCAACGAAGTTTTAAAGCGTCGCAAACTTTGTCACGCAATTTAGAGGAAAGAATAACGTTCTCACTTATGTGCAAAAATGTAAAAATTTCCATCCACCATAAAAGGAAAAAAAAAAATCATATAAATAAGCTTAAAAGCACGACAAATTGCAATAACCATTTCAAACTCTAAGAGTCGCTGATTTTATTGGAAATAAGTGAAACGAGACTTTAATTCGTCTCGGATAAGCCACGTACTCGTGGAAGGCAGTTGCACTTTTGGTATTGCCACTCGGCTAAAGTGAATACGCAAAGTAGTTGCAGGCAAAGAAGGTGACCTTCCAATTTTCTTTGATGCACATTCAAACGAAAAATATTTTCCACGAATTGAAATTTAATGTGACCTCAAAGTTTCGGTTTTCAAGAGGAAAGGAACAGCTTCGTAATTAGACCGAAGCTGATGCAAGCGTCACCGAGTGGATCAGAAATCTCCCTACGAGTATACTTCGTTAAATTATTTTGAAGAATTTCCTAAAATTAGATTCTTCATCAGATTTAATGAAAACAATTTTGCTATAGAAGCTTAAACATTCGAATGATTAATGGAAATGTTATCATATACTTATACATATTTTTCTGTTTAACATTGAAGACTGTTCTAGTGAATTGGTATACAACAAGATTCTTATAAGGGAGTTCTATCGATTACATAATTAACAATGAGAATGAGATGAAAATTTATTTATAAATCAATAAAATCATATGGATGACGCAGTCAAAATTTGAAGGCACGAGGATTCCTAGGAGCCGAGTAATAAGTATTGATATTTAGTCAATTTTAACATGTAGGCTAATGGGCTGTCGTCCTTTTGAGCTCTTCTGTTATATTTACCTCTATTGTTAACAATGAACTTTTGATAAAAATATTACCAATGGTGAAGAAATATCTAATGATCGTATTTAACTTTATTTAACATCTCGAGGGTGCGAGTGAGAGAAGATATTAATTAATAGACATGTTGAAAACTACTAAAGGTTATGTTTTCACAGGAGTGAAAGAGAGACAGATGACATACCAAACTATAGAAAGTGTTGCATGGACTATAGCGAGGGATAGAACATCCTTAATATACAAATGACCATATTGTCTGTAGGACCACGCTGTGAGAAAAAGTCATTGTAACTATTATAATTTCGTAACAGCTACTTCACTTCTTTTTAAGAGGCTTGACTTCCAGTCTACTGGGATGGCTAAAGCATAAGGTACATGTGCATACATATACAGTCAACTCGTGATAGTAACATAAAAAATTAGTAGACTGTGCTGCATTTGTTATCAGTGTAGTAGGAATTGCTCAAGTCGGTTTGCCAAAGCAACTATTTTCTACAGTCACGTAATGGCCGCAACCGGACATTTTAATAGATGGCACTACATTTTTCTCTCAGTGTACTGCATGCAAGCTGATAGAAACTATCACAGTTGAAGCAAAATCGTAAATATTAAACTAAAACTGTATTGATTATATCGAAACATAACTTTGAAACAGCGTTCCTAACTATCTAGTAGCTAAACTGTACAGAACTCACGTCAAATACAATCTTTATTATTTCTTTTTTACCTCTGCGTGTAAATGTGTTTATTTTTATCTTTGCTCATGTCTTTTTGTTATTTTCATTTTTTGCGTTTTTTTATCTTTTCATTCCATTGTCAAAACATTTCTATCTTTTTGATGTACCTCTCTAAATATTCCCATTTCTTAGCATCTATTTCTTTATTTTCGTCTTGATTACCAAATATTACCTAGTTGATATCTGAATAGATCTGATATCTAGGTATTGTAATATCCGTTTGACGTATCTAAAATTTCAAGAATCACAGTCAACGAAGGTGATAACTTCATGGATAACAATTTATATTGGAGTTGATTGACAGCCAGCAATTTAATATATTTGATAGTCTCATTAGCTAGATTTTGTTGTATCAACCAATGCCACTCAATATCATTTGAGAATCAATTGACCGCATTTAACGACTAGAAAGAACGTTAGTCAGCTCGAGGATACATCTCTGACAACACCTAAAGCAGCTGAAACAAGTATTTGTTTCTGACTCATATTCATACGCACATTTTCGAGCAAAAGGTAAAAGGTTAGAGGGCTCCAATGAAGTAAGTTTTAAAAGTTGAACAGGGATACTTTCAATTATAAAAAAGTACTCGGAGTTACAAATTAAGGAATCCAGAAAGTGTAAGCTTTTAAAATACAATGTCAAACAAACTAAGTAAAGATAAGATTATAATACTTAATAGAGTGAAATTAACGTCATTGAAGATGACAATATTATTTATTCATAAATAGGAGGGTGATTTATTCGAGTGATAGAAGAAATCTCAAGTTTTTGTATTCTCAGTCCATTGTCTAAAATGCTTCCGTTATCATCTAAATGTTGAAATTAAAATTTTTCTGAAAAGCTGTTTCATTCCTATATGTTGACCAGTGACATTAGATCAATTCCTAAATAAAATTTCAGTCCCGCGTCTTCTTTATTTATTTTCATCACTGCTTAGTACACGTAACGTAAGGTTACAAGAAAGCCTTACTCACAGACAAAGTACTCACAGGTTTCATGTTACCACAATTCATTGATTCTTCGCGGGTGAAGCTGCTTGCCGGCTTAAGAAAACCAAGAAACACATCAAATGGTTTCTTCTACTATTTTATAATGACTCATTTTCAAGCATTTTTCCATTTTAAGATGGACTGTGAATTCCACGAAACTTTGTTATTATTTTACACACTTGAATTCCCTCTCAATACGTGATAAAAATAAAGGATTTGGAATCATGGGACATTTAATAATACTTTCATACTGTTTTTAGGATACATAAAGGAGTTCACTTATGTGTTTGACTTAAAAATAGTTCAAGTACTTAAAGGGCTATTATTGAAAAAGTTATTATTAAACAGAATATTTCTACCGTAAAATACTCACAATGGAGTTCACTATTTTGTGGATCAATGTCATTAGTTTATTGTTATATTCCTCCAATTCAAATAATGGTAAGAATGTGCTATTACAAATAAATACATCAAAACCTTTAAATAGTCATGAGGTAAAGGAAACCAAAATCGAAACACAGATTTTTTGCGTGACATGTCACCCAGACTTAGTCATTATCCTTAACTGGGCCCTCGTCAATCCAGTTTACCTTGAGATACATTCGATTATTTAGTTTTGGCCGAAAAAAGGTACATTAAAACAAATTGGTTAAGTAAAACACTAAAAGCTTACTAACAGTGTGGCTTACGATATAATGTTGATTCTAAAAGTAGTCAAAAATACTTAAAATATGCATAAATAGCATTAGTACAGTCGAAACTGTGGGTCACGTCTAAAATAGTGGACAATATTTAGGTAAACACATGAACTTGAAAATATGTGAAAACTGATAATAGAATATCTTGTTTATGAAGTCAAAATTTTCATAGAGTCCGATCTCACATAAGGTAATATTAAAAATGCAATAGACAATTTCATGAGTTTCAAATTACGTGTAATATTACTACCTTACTAGAACATGGCCATAGAAGAAAATTTGAATGTGTGGAGGAAAAAACTAGACACCTGAAGGAAAACATAGACATACTTTTCTTTGAAAATTGCTGACTTCCAACACATCAGTCTGACTTGATTCTACCCCAAAAGCTTGAATAACACTCATCTCTTAAGTTGGATAGTGTAGAGCCGTAAAACTTGTTTTTTTAATTATAAATAACAAACAATTAAAATTATGAGACCAATAATTATAATCTCGAAACTTCCGAGACTTTCAATCTTACACACATTTTTGGCCCTTCTGTATCCCATAGTAATGATAATTTCAAGCAGTTTTCAATACTTTTCAGGTAGTGTTCTATCTCTTTTCCGAGCTGAGTTATAACTAAAAGATTAAAACCTTAATTTTATCACGATCGGTATGTTTTTCCATGACACCACTGTTGATTGAGCATCTTTGTCCAAATGAAAAATAAAAAATGAACCAAATTGACACTACCAAGATAATTAATACAAATGGGACATGAGCTTATAAATGTAAAAGATGTGGCAAACTAAAACTATTTTTCTCTACTTTAACTATACCTTTATATTATAATTATTTTGAGGTTTTGACATGTATACAAACATTTATTACTTGAATCATCACTAAATGTAATCACATAAAATTCAGTATTTGCACTACTGTCGTCAAATCTGAATAATAAATCAATGGAATTGGACACCACATTCGATTGTTATGTATCACTTCAAAATAAACATGGTCACTTTTGCGGTGGAGCAATCGTCAGCGATTACCACGTTATAACTGCCGCTAATTGCGTCGTAGATTCTATAAGCAATAAATTCATCCACGACGATATTACTATTGTCCAAAAAAATCCAGTGTTCACATTTTACACCGAAACTATTGGACAAGTTGAGAAGATGTACGTTCCCAGTGAATATGCTCCTGGAGAACACGACATTGCGGTTCTTAAGGTATTTAGAACTTTTATTAAGGATTGCCGAGAGATTTCATTCGGTACAATACAAATTTAATGGGATTTTTAGTTAAAAGACAGTTTAAGATTGGAAGAAAATCCAAAATTACAAAAAGTAGATTTTTCACTGGTGATGCAGCCTTACCAAGATGTCCTTCTCGAAACGATTGGTTACGGGGATGATGCAGTACTAGTATCCAACCGAAATGGAATCAAAGTCATCCGAACAATTAATACTCATCGGAGCAAAAAATATTTTCAAATGAAAATCTTATCCAATGACGAATGCAAAAAATTCAAACTTTCATTAGAAATGAACTGGAACCGTTTTTGCACTACACCAGTACCACCGATTAAAGGTTATTCAAAAGGATTGTGTAATGTAAGGTTCATGATAAACTTTTCTCAAAAATAATTATAATTACCTTATGATTTCACATTTGAACTTTTATACCCACAAAGTAACATTATTACAATTTTTTAATACTCATAAAATATCAAAAATGGAAAAAAATTACGTAAGATAATAACCTCTTTTCATTTAGATCATTTATTAATCTATTCCCACACGATTCACCAAAACTTTTATTATATATTATTTGAATAAAACACTGGAAAATACCATAAAGAGTCAAGTTTTTGTGGGCTTTCATTGTGTTATATCTCAAATTATTATTTTCTATTGTAAAACTCAAACAATAAAAGGAAAAAAAGTCACGAGCATTTGTATCGTAAGCATGGTAAACTAAATTTTACTTCGCAAAAAAATAATAATTTGGAAAAAGCAACCATGCATTTCAAAAACTTTAAAAAAAATAGATTTGTTACAAAACTACATTATCATTGGTGTAAATCTAAAGAACTCATGAAATTCGTGGTACATATCTTCTAATAAGTCACAATAAGCTTTTCGTGATGAAGACTTAAAAAACACAGATAAAAAAATATCCAATTCATTTTAGCTGGTATAAAAAAAAAATTATTTGTAAGTTTATATAACACATAAGTTAGATTTCGGCAGAAAATCAAAAATATTAGATAACATTTGTAGAAATATACGGTTTTTTTAGGAACATAATTTGTGCTTACAAATGATATCAATTTTTATTTTCAGACGTATTGTCAAGAAAAAAAAAAATTCTATTCCACAACAGTACATAGCCTCTTATTGCGGTCACTAATAAAACTTTGACAACTACAACTTTTTGGAACATTTTTCGTTTGATTTTTTCTTATTCGTTTACCCTTTTTTTAAAAAACAGCACATTTATAACTAACTCATTTTTTGCAAGAAGAAAATTCTTTTATTTCTAGTTTTGATTTATTCCAATTGTTATTTGAATACAGTTTCATTACTGATCCCCATAAGAGTCTACATTAAATTGTGTAATGAAATGATTTATTTTCTAAAAAATACAGGAACAAAATATTGAAAAAATTAATATGCATATTTTATGCTCTTAAGAAGAATGTAATTTTTTTACACCTCACAAAACCCCTTTAAAAATCATTAATATTATTGTAAAAATTTTCTTGTCTTGGTTGACACATATTTTTCAACAGGGCGACAATGGAGGACCCCTTATCTACAACAACATGCTTATAGGAGTTTTCACTAAAGGTGACAACTCTTGCGACAACACAAAAGTGCCAGCCATTTTCACGAGGGTGTCGTCTTACTTACCGTTTATTATCACTGCCGTTACAGATTTCAAAGTTAACTTAGTGGAAGTTCGAGCCTCAAACAGGTAGACCAAATTTTTTTCTCATAAATTGATTGTTGCCACAAGTAGAACGTTATTTTTCATTTAAATACCAGCGATTCAAACTAATTACATCTTAATCACAGGGTTATTTAACATAAAAAGAAACCTCTGAAACAATTTAGTTTCAGAACATATTCAAGGTTGTATTCGGACTCAACCGACAAAACTTGAATTATTTTTCACTATCATAAGTATTTTATTAGAAGTTTGTTAAATTTTACATTTATGACAATACTTGCGCGACACCAGTAACAGCTAAATTCAACTTTACAATGTTTTAAAAAAAAAAATTTAATTAGGATGCAAGGAAATTTCAGCTAACAATAAATAAAAGTTCTAAGAAATGCTTACAGATCAGCTAAGTAAATAAAACGTTTTAAAAAATGACCTTGTGACATTATTTTGTTTGAAATATTTGACAATCATAACAAGATATTTTTAGGCTAGATTAACATTTAGCGCAAAAAAATTACTCCCTATAATTAGTGGAAATTTTATTATTTCAGCAAATATGTTCAAACAGCAAATCTCAACAAACTGATTGATGATAATTTTGAAACCATTCGAAAAGCGTTACTAATTGTTAATTCATCTTATTTATTAAAAATTATGTATGACAATGTATGTACGACAATAATTAGGAACACATTGATATTCTCACAAAAATTTACTCTCGTTAATAGTAATCGTATTGTAGGATGCCAATAACGATTTGATCAATATATCAGCGATACGTTTGTCAAAAGTAAATGCTACTAAAGATAGTTTTGTCTGGTATGAGAAGAAAACGTTGAACATTGATTTAAACCTCATTTGGAATCATGTTGAAGTAAGTACGTTTTTAATATTTGTATATTATATTTTAGACATGTTTACACGTAGTAAAAAACTGAAAATTTGGGAAGTTTTTTTTACAAAACTGATAAAAATCATTTTTAAATTGTTTTGAATCATAAATTTCTAAATATCAAGATAGTGTATTTAACATTTCTATTGTTTATTCTTCTTACTTGGGTGGAAATATAAAAAAATATTGTCAACATTTCTGTTTTTAACAAGAGGCGACTGACCTAAATTGCAAACATAATGTTGCGATATTAAAATTAATTCAAGAAACTTCAAAACATGCATTCATTTTCACTGACGTATCGCTGATCACCTTACTTTTGGTTAATTACAAAACATGGGCGATGTTAATACTTAAATACTAAATAGAAATTGTTAAAATAATTTAATGTATATTCATAAGAGTTTGAACCTATTGTTTGTCTACAGCATGCTAACCACGTATATTCACCTAACACAGCTTTTGCGAAAGAATTAAAACATAAGATTAGTAACTCACGTTACTTGTACATTGGATTATGCAAATCAATATAATAACATTAGTACATAAATGTATTTAGTTATAAATTAATTTGGCTCATATTTTTTTTAGGCTGAAAAAAAAATTAGATGGACTGAAATTCTCATAAATTATCAACATAATTGCGAAGGCTCTTTAGAAGCAAGTTTGGCTGATATGAGGGCTAAAATTGTAGTATCTGTGGACTTTGGAAATAACGTAATAACACTGAGACACTTTCGTGTTAATATTGATGAATCGTAAGAATTACTCATTTTTACCAATTATCAAAAAAATTTTTATGTACCCTAAATCAATTGTTTGTTTTATCACAACAGAAACTCGACATGGAGATTATTTACTAATAGCTTTTGTTTGTCCCTTGTGAGTTTGGATCAAAAAACTAAGTTCAACATGAACTCCATGATGAAACATATTTCGATGGCCATGGAAGCTGAAATTACAAAAAACATAGAACACATTATTCAAAGCGCAAATTTATTTTTTACTTCTTATGGTAGCAAACAGTTTAAATTCGTTAATATTAAGGATAACGATCCTTCTGAAAACGAATATGAACTTATTGAAGCATGATGTTGAACATACCGAAGAATAACAATGTATATTACTTTTTATTTTTAGTTTTTTGTACTTAATTATCTGTCAAATTAAAAACTGTAAGATATTATTATAAAACAGCAAAGAATCAGATTTATTTTTTGAATGTTATTTTCTTTGTATATGTAGACTGTTATGCTGGGCAAAAGAGTTGTAGTAATTTACTAAAATGTCCTTAACAGTATGTTTTAGAAGTATGTGAAAAAATGATGTAAATTCTAAGTATTAAGTTAAAAGTTATCTTTTTTTATCCAAAAAACTTCATTTTCTTATTTTGTACAAAAAATTTCTATTCTAAGCTATTGTTACGTACGATAGCATGTAGCTATACGTGCGTGCGCCTCTGCTGGCTTGGGCCTGAAAGGTAGGGGAATAGAGAAGTGAGGTGATAGGAAAGGTAGAGAGAAGGGACGGGGAGATCAGCTAGAGACGCGAGAGGGTAAGGACGAAGTCCGCGAGACGATAATACACGCACAACTTTCCTCAATGATAAGTAATTCTAATAAAGCATAAGTAACAAGTCACGCTTCTATTTATTCCCGCACCGAGAATCCCACGTAACACTATAAAGTATTTTATAAAATACGTACTTTTGCAATACAAATTTGGAATGTCAAATAAATAAGACTTTCTTGATGCCAAAATTAATTTCTTCAATGTATTAAACTGTATCAATCATGTTATCGATCCTCATTCGTTTCTATTAATTATAATCTTTAGGAAATGCTTGTAATTGACTAGTAAAATCTTTAGATAAGAAACAAATGTTAAGTAAATAAAATTAATCTTAAAAAAATGTATGTAAATACTCTACGAACATACTGTACTATGCCAAGATGTTATGAGTTGAAAAAACTGCACAAAGTCAATCAACCTATAAGCACAATCATACCATTGATAGGATCTTTAGACTACACTTCAGCAAAAATTATTTTGGTCAAAAAAAAATGGATAAATTAATACCGAATAAAAGAAAGAAGATTTTTTTCTAGCCTTGACGTATTATTTTTTTTAATGTTACTGTGGATTTGATGAAATTATCAATAAAAAAAATGGCATTATTGAATGTGCCAACTCTTGACTGCGAGGGTAAGTTACACGAGTCATTAAATAAACTATTTATAAATTACTCATTTCATAGTTGCATAAGCATGTAAAGCAATGCACACGGTGTGCGCGCTAAGCATTTTCTAGTTCACTAAATTATGAATTTGTTTTTGTTGTTCTACATAGAAAAATGTGTCACAAATTTCGTAATGCTAGGTAACCTATAAATGGACATGCATATGCGGATACCATACTGGTAAAATTATTGTAGTACATAAAAAGTAGAGAAAGTGCTCTGAAGTTTGAAATTTATACTAGGCTCCACATAATCATATATGTATGGATAATAATTGTACGATGTATAAATGGATGCTCATGGGTTAGGTTAAGTCATTTGATACCCTTTTATTACTTTCCAACGAATTTTCAGTTAGTCTTGCTTTTATTGGATTAAATAAAAATTCGTTTACGATTGTGGGAATAATAAAAAGTTTTTTTTTTTTAATTGTATGATACATTTTACTGTTGAAAATCAATCGTTTACTTGGTAACTCGAAAGACCGCTGTTTCCGATTTTATGGCCAAATATAAGGTGTCAATAATTAATATATTTCAAATTTCAGTGCAGTAATAATCCATAATAAGTAGTCATTGTAAATTTAAGTATAATATATGACATTGCTAACAATTTATCAGTAATCTATACCGGAACACTTAGGTATCTATCTGGGAATACTGTAAAAAACTATCTAATCACCTCATAGTGCTGACCTTGCATTCGGAATTCATTTAATACATCTGTTGGTTGAAGAGCAATTAATTTGCTTGAAGACAGAGATTCCAGTTTATTAAATATTTTATCAAAAAAACCCAGCACTGTCTTTCTGTTGTAAAAAAAATGATGGATGAAATTTAACATAATGTGACAACAAAGAAAGAAACACCACATGTTCAATCACGTCAATCCAATTCTACAAGATAGTGTAAGATCATCTGATTGTTTTTCTACTGCTTTTATCAAATGGTTCCACACCATTAACATTATCCTACTCCACGCATTTCTTAAGTTTCGACTCAAGGTCCAAGTTACTATTATTATAAATTTACAAGAAGAATCCAATCTTCTTTACTCTTGTCATCCACGTTATTAAAGAAGAAAAATTATGTTAATGATTAACAAAGTTCCATTATGACACTAACATTCAATTCAATATTCATATAAAAGGAATTAATATTTATATTCAAGTAGTAAATGTGACAACTCAATCAACGAGATCATGTATTTTTTATTTCTAATAATAAGTATTGCATCCAAAAAAATGTATTTGTCAAACACACTGCATAGTTATTATAGTTTTTTTATTTTACATATTTCATTTCTTTTTAAAACAGAAAAAAGTTAAATGTATATTTGAGTTTTTTAAATGTGATTTCTTTTTAATCTACTTTTTGAAACTTTTTTTAGAATTTATCAAGCCGCTTCCGTGTGTATAGTTGAACTACTACCAAAACTATTAAAACATTTATTATACGACTTGGCCAAACTGATTTACCTTGAGCTGAACTGTATAAAATTTGTCAAATACTTACGATCTCTATTTTTGATTTTTTATCTCTGTCTGTTTTGTTATCTTTGTATGTATTTTTTATCTTCTAGTGTTTTTTGCCATTTTCTATCTTTTTGTTCCAGTATGAAAATATTTCCACTTCACTAACGTATGAAGCAAAGTTCCAAAAAACAGTCAGTCATTCACTGGCAGGCGTCACGAGCGGAGTTGTCGTCGCGAAACTAGAAACCCCAGCCACCAACCATCCTGCATTATTATCTCGCTTTTAAGCATTGAACCAGGAATCACCGATCCTCTCTGTATGCAATATGTATTCTTCTATTTTTGTCTTAATTATTTTTTTATTAATTTTATTTATTATTAGTCACTTTGTTTTTATCATTAGATCTGTTTTAATAACCTCACATCTGTATTTTTGTACTCTTGTACTCACGTCTCTGTATTCAAATCTTGTTTTCGTCTCTTAATTTCTAATTACAAATATAATAATAATAATAATAACCTGTCTCTGTCTTTTACTACTCCAATCCTGATTTTCATATTCTTCATTTTTTTGTATTTAAGTCTCTTTCATTCAAGTTCCTTCGTCATAATATTTCAAGACTCTGATATTTTTCTGAGGGCTATAAAATATCTATTTTTATAATTGCCGTTACAATGATTTCCAGCATATTTTTTAACTGAAAAATGTCGTATTCCGTTTTCTAAGTTTTTATCTCTTCTTTGATTATACTGAGTTTTATTGGAATTATTTTTTTTAAATTTATCTTTTCTGTTATTATTTTGCGCCGTCATGTATAAATTTTTATACCAGGCCATCTACTTTTATTTCAGTGTTCTTGCTTTACATATTTATCTTCACGTTCATGGCTTAAACTATTACCTTGGCAGTTTCTTTATGTTTCTGAGCTTAAATTCACATTTCATTAACGTAACTATTACTTCTACTGTCTCGCCATTCCTATATCATGAAATTTATTAATCTACCTGATTTTCTATGTCAACGTTGTCTTTTTATTTTAGTAATTTAAAACAACTCCGTTTCTAAGTGCATATTTTTTTAAGACTTTTAATTTTTTCAACACATAAAAATCTCTGCTTTCGAATGAACTATTCATACGTGTGCGCAAATATACACGCAGAAAAGAATTACAGGAATTTTTACCGTAAAAGCATCGGTAATCCTGTGATAATTTGTCAGTACGTAAATTTTTACCGTAGATATTCATGAATTTTTACCGTAGTTTACTGTAATTTTTATTGTAACTGTAAAATTTATTTAAAATTCACTATAATTTTTACTGTACGGCAACGGTAAAATTTCCCCTGAAAGTGCATATAGCTATAGGTTGCAGGATCACGTGGGCTGTAGAGAAGGGTTGACCAGATGTCTACTGTAGTGGGCTATATAACCTGTATGAGAGAACGAGATAGACGTAACATATGTTTTACCGAAATCAACGTATAGATGAAAGTACGGGTATCTTTTATGAATGGCTATAAGCGAAGGAGTACTGCATCATGTGTCCAACAATTCGTTAAGTACCAATTCTATTAATGCAAATATCCGCAGAGGTCTACAATTTTTAGGTTAGTCCACGCTTTAGCAGACAAGTGATCATCAGGTGCTCGGCCTTCCCCTCCAGCCCACGTGACCCTGCAGCCTATAGCTATATATACTTGCACCTCTGAGAAACTTATTTCTTACGTGCGTATTACCAACTGTGGCCAAATGGTTCGGAAGCCATGTAAAATAAGGTCCCCTTTGCTGTGTAAGTGATTGATGTCACAATTAAATCTGAGGCGGTTTTTTCCTATGCCAATGACGATAGCATGTAAATGCATAGTAACACAGCATTGCAGAGCCTATAGGGCATAGTTCTCAAAAAATGGCTGTAAAATATTCAAAAAAAAAAAGCTATATATACTCTCTCAGGGGAAATTTTACCTTTGCCGTACAGTAAAAATCATAGTGAATTTGGGATAAATTTTACAGTTACCATAAAAATTACTGTAAACTACGGTAAAAATTCATGAACACCTACGGTAATAATTTACGTAAAGACAAATTATCACAGGATTACCGTTGCTTTTACGGTAAAAATTCCTGTAATTCTTTTCGGCGTGTACTAATATTAAAACAATTGCCGAGACAATTGAAAAAACAGATAAAAAGGAATTTATCTAACTACTGCATTGACTGGAGATCGAGTGAGACAGTTTCTACAAGCATTGAGACTACGACTGTATCATATTTTACGTTATCAAGCAGTTTTTTTTTTTTAATTACATGTATCAGATATTAAATTTAGATTATACCTAGCAACAAAGTATTATGTAACCATAATGTACCATCCCAACAAACTATGCACTTAACATCCAAAAATTTAGAATTAATCTACATTTTCATCACCTTGCCTACTGTATTCGCAATTTAGTAAGTTAATGTACATATAGAAAAAATGTGATATTTAGGTATCATGAAATGCGTTTAACGTATCTAGATCTTCAAGAATCACAGTTAACGATAGCGATAAATTTATAGATAACAATTTATATTGGAGATAATTGGATGGTCAGCAATTTAAAAATGAAATTTGACAGGTTTACTAGTTAGATTTTTT